TTTTTTTTTTTTTTTTTTGTACATCTTTTTTATTGTATATGTTTTTGTACATGTTTTTGTTTTTGTCTTTTTTTTTATTTTTTTTGTTCGTTTTTTTCTTTTGTCTTTTCTTGCTCATGTTTAGATAGATGATAGATCGAGATATCCAGACTCTGCCAAGCAGAGCAGTTATTGCCAGTAGATAATAGACAATAGACTCTTCTGAGGATTCAATCTGAGAAGCCACAAGAACTTAACCCGATCACATAGAGCCGGACTTCACTCTAGGATGAAGTCAGGATAGTCTTGACTCTTAGGCAGAGGAAGCCATGCTACGAGTGTAGGTAATGAGCCTCGGAAAACCTAGAGAAGCAGTCAACAAGCAATCCAGCGGAGAAAGCCGACCAGATATGATGCATATATAAACCTGTTGTGCCAGCCGTTACCAAAGGAAACGGAAGAACTACCTATCACGACCCAGTCGTTAGTAATTGATATTCCTCTTCCCTCGTTGTTTCAAGCTGTATATCACTTTCTAGATCTTAGCAGCCGCAACATCAGGGAGAGTGTACCGAAAGGCCTTCGAGCCCGCGTAGGACTAATCGAAAAGTCCCCAGGAATCTACCATTTACAGCAAAGAAGCTGATGTTAGACTTTGGTTTCTACTAACACAATGTACAACCAAAGGCTTGAGGGAAATATATCATCCAAGGTTACTGTACCAGAATTGTAGACTTTAAGAGAATACCAGGGTTGATCTCAGTCACAACACTATTACCTCTTCACGAGAGTAGCATGGTGCTTTCATATCCATTAATTTACGTGCCAAAGAAGATCTAATATCTCTACGATGAAGTGTGTGGTTAATTATATCTCAATGTATGACCCATGGGACAGCCCTAATGAGCCAAGGACAATCACATGACCACGCGTAACGCGCCGCGATGGATCTGCTCGCGACTATCGGAGCGAAATGATAGCCCCATCGATCAACTAATACACCGTTCTCTCCATCTAATTACTCGATACAACGGCAGTTCCTCCCACAGACAAATAGCTCATCACTTTCACCCTCACCAAACCAACTAAAAGAGGAAAGAAAAAGAAAACGAAAATGTCCCTCCAAACACCCCGCGTCCTCCCCGCCCACCTCCACGCCTTCCACCCCTCCAACGCCAACCCCCACGTCACAAACACCGTCCGTCTACTGGGCACAGTAACAGCGCTCCGTGGCGACACGGCGACCATCACGTGCGGAGATAACGGAGACGTGACGCTGATCTTGAAGCCCGATTCGCATCTGCAGATGGGGAAGCTGGTCGAGGTTGTTGGCAAGGTGACTGATGTTGAGGGGCAGGTGAGTCTTGCACACTCCAAGTTCTATTTCTTTTACAAATCCTACGGACTATAGCGCGGAGTGAGGTAGGATTTCATGCTGACAGATGGACGTGAACAGGGCCTTGGGGTGAGGGTGTTGGGCAGCTTTGATTGGGGAAATCCCTCTGATTGCGGTATGTGGTTTTTCACTTCTTTTCTTGTCGGTCTACGGTGTTGCTGTTAGGAGCTTTGGTGCTGGGAAGAATTATGTGGGGAGCTCGGGCTGATGGTGGTTCTTGGACAGATTATAAAATCTATGAGAATGTGGTCAATGCGACACATCGGTTTAAGTCGCTTTTCTATGAGGCGGCTGAATAATTTATTCTTTGCTATGTTTCATGAATCTTGTTTCTCTTTGATACCAGGGTGCATATGTTTAAAACTTCTCTCTAGACATAGGGGGGTGGCATCTGGCGATGCAATTAAATAGTGGCATTAGAAGGACGTCGAATGTTATTTATGCTATCATGCTCTTACCTTATGGCTATCTTTGTTCCGCTAGTATAGTGCAGTTAAGATTGTAGATTGCGATTGTTAGTGTAGAATCTTGCTACATCTACTTCGGAGATAGGTAAGGTTGCTTCTTTCTTTCATTGGTTTTTATTTGTATTTGTTATTGTTATGGTTATGGTTATGGTTATCGAGCTCAAGACGAGTCAACTTGTCCTCGATGTTGAGACATAGTGATAGTAAAGTGTCGGCGGCACACTCGGTGGCGCCTGATGCAGGCTCATCATGGCCTGAACATGAAAAGGAAACTAAAAGACAGGACAATCCCAAGGTCAACGGTGTACCCTCGGTACAGGTTCCAATCCACCAACGCCGTCGCTTGAAAAACATATCAAGAAGGACACAGAAAGAAAAAAGAATGCCAAAGAAAGTCTCGGATGCTCATCACAATAAGAGGGTAACAATAAGATTATAGTCAAAGAAACTCATGAAACATTAGGCGTATTGTTTTGTGCTTGTTCTTTGTGGCTCGATCCCTCGGCCGGCTTAGCCTTGACATTCAGGGCCATGACGTCGGTATCGAGGGCATCGGAGCTGAAAAATCCAGAATCAAGGAGGTTCGGATCAAGATTGAAGATATCAAAATGGTTTTCTTTATGAAGGTCTGGGTTGGACAGAAGCGCGTTGATGAGATTACCAGAATCATCATCTCCGTTGTTCTGCTCTTCCTCAGATCCATTGGGCGAGACGTAGTCCGACGGCAGCCAATCCGGCCAGTTGCTACTGGACGGACATTTGCTTGGATCAAAGCCGAACAAGGAGTCAGCGTTCGTGGCAGAAGCTGCATCAGAGAAGATATCCACAATCACTTTGTCCATCCCGTCGAATGCATCCGCACTGAAGGCATCGTCGGGAAGAGAGGGCAAGTCAGGCATGTGAAGGCGCATCTGCTTGGGAGTTTTTCCCTGGCGTGGCGTTGACCCGGGGCTATTTTGAATGCGTTGGAGCCGTTGCGCGGTAAGCTTCGTGGGGGTTGTGTTGACGTCCTTCCGTACTTTAGACGACGAAGGTGAGTGACCCGGAAACGAAAGCGATTTTTCACCCAAAATGCCGGTGCGAGGATTGCGTCGCCGTGGTGTAGGGCTCGTAGGCAAGTCTAGCTCAAAGCTCGGGCTCTCAAAGAGACAGTCTAGGTCAGAAGCGCCATTCTCTTTGTCCTGAGGTTGCTTGGTAGACTCGTGAGAAGCTACGCGAGGGCTGCGGCGTGGGCTGTTTAGAACCGACTCGCCTAGAGCTTTCAGAGGGCCGCCCTCAGCCTGCGAATTAGGAAACAGAACTCTCCGTACGGATTTGGGAGTAAGACTATTCTCACCCGCCGTGGCAGAATTACGACTCTCGAGATTCCTAGCAGGACTAGACTGGATAGCTCGCCTGAGGGCCTCGATCGCATTGTCCTCTTGCCAACGACTTCCCGCAGTGTCCGATGACTTCCGGGGCTCCAAGCTGGTTGCGCGCCGCCGCTTGGATGGGGGGTCCTGGGAATCATCCTCGTTCTCGTTTTCATTATTGTTGCCATCACGAGGGGTTATGCCGTCTTCTGCGGCCGGCGACGAGGCATCGGATGCGACGGGCGAGGATCCGTCCACTTTGGTCAATTCGGCTCGGCTTCGGCTCCTGGTTGCAGCACCATTGGTTGAAAGGGGGCCACCTCCCCTGCGGTTCCTAGGGGGACGCTTCCTCTTGCCATTTGAAGACTTGTTCCATTTGTTCTCTGGTCGCATGGATTTAAACTTGTGAAGCCAAAGGCGCATGCTTTTTTTCATGTCAGTATCAAGAGCGTCAATCAGTTAGCATATCTTTATCACTTACGGTTGCAAAGAAGGACTTGAGCAAAGTCATTGTCGGCATCAGCGAGACTCTTCTTGTAGATCTTGAATTTGGTAACTTTGTCTTGATCATCCCGCTCCAGAGACTGCCAAAACAACATGCCCGAATCCTTCTTCATCACATCGGCCTCTTGCTCATTCCCAATGATTTCCTTGGACCAGGCCCTACGCCACGTGGGTGTTTCGATCGCGCCACAGTTCTCACAGTAAGGGGGAACCTGCCCATCGCGAATGCACTTATCAAGGCGAGCCTGAACCTGTCTTAATCTTCTCGCACCCGCCCCACTGCGGACTTTACCGTCCTCTGCTACTCGTTGCGGGGCAGGGGTCTCTGCAGCGGTGAAATCACTCATTGGGCCAGCAGCCCAAGCGGTATTCTGGCCTTGAGGTTGCGATGGCATGACGGGGTCACTTGCGGGAATTGCGCTTATCAGCTGCTCTATTTCACTCTGGGACATAGGAGCAGGGGCCAGAGGCTTAGGAGCCTGTCTAAAGCTTGCGCGTGAAGACGGCCTCGAGCCTGCAGCGCTAGCTGGTGCACGGGGAGGTACAGGTGCTGATTCCTTCACAGGCTGTCCTTGTGACTCATCACCAACATGGACATTCTCATTTCGGGTCTCCTGGCTCAGGCGAGCGCCAACAGGTGAACTGGCCTGCACTGCCGAGTGATCTCTCCGCTTCTCACTGGCAGTGTCATTCGTCACAGGCCTTGTGTAATCTTCCAACGGTGTGCCGATGTCGTCATCTAAAAGCTCTTCTACGCCACCACTCATGAATCCAGAATCAGGATCAGTGACCATAGGTGGGAGAACTGGGCTGGAGCGGGTTGGGAAGCTGCAGTCCAAGACAGGGGGCGAGGACGGCATGCTGAATGAAGGCTCGAAAAGACCTTGGTAGCGAGACTCCTCTGGGGATTGCGTGTTGAATTCAATGGGAGTCTGGTCATCGCTGGCGTTATACGGAGACTCGTAGTGGTTGCTCTGGACGGAGGATTCACGCAGAAGGCTCGGCATGGTGCGTGCCCGACGAGGGAGGCCATTCATGTTGGAGATAGGGGTGGTGGCCGAACCGGTTCTTCATGGGAGCTCTGAGCAGCAGCAATAGCCGGGTTGATTGGCGTGGGGCGGTGAATACGAACAGAAGCAGCTGTACTTGCAGCTACCCGCAGGGAGCTGGGCTGCCTCTCGATGTTGAAGTCCGACTTCCCGGGCCATTCCGCTCGATACAGCTTAGCACGTTTTCGAGGTTGGGACTCTCCAGATTCCTCGCAGCTACCGTAGCCCGATTGAATAGATCCCCTGCGACTGGCATACCGAGATTGAATAGCAAAGTCCGAGTCACGCATAGAAGCGCTAGAAGACGGACGAATGATATCACTCTGCGAGCGGTCCAAACGGGGTTGCTGTGACTGTTGCTGTATCGGCTGAGAAAGTTGCTCCTGCTGATATTGTGATCGTTGGCCCCCAGGGGTGGATACTCTGCTTCCAGCTGCCAAGGCGGACTGCGAAGGTGATACAGATCGATATGGCCCATGTGCAGAGACAGGTGGAATTTCCCTTGGCGTCGAGCTCTCGCTAAGTAATTGATGAAAACGCTCAATTCCGGAGTGGTCCAAGGGCGATTCCGTCCGTTCCGGTTGCTGGGTGATAGAGGGGGTCATCAACCCGGTTTGGCGCAAGAAGTTGGTCCACGCTTGCGCATCGAATTCGTGAGGAATAACGGTGCTCAACTCCCGATACCTCCGCATGCTTTCCAGGTATTCACTCTGCATGACCGTGGGAACGGGTACCAAGCGCAACTTCACCTCCAGTGTCTCCTGAGCACCCTTCGAGAACAATCCCAGCACATTTTTGCAGACGCGACCAGTGACCATGGTTTCAGATTGATGGGCCGGGGCATTTGGCGTGGGAGAAGCCGAAGCAAGAACCCATGATAACATTCCCTGTCCAACCAAAGGCGTCTCATATTCTGAGTAATCGTAGGCATAAACGGTGTAATCTTGTCCCAGTTTCGCAACCAATTCGGGACTGCAATCAGACAAATAACAATGAGTATAATCTCAGTGACTGGAAGTGATTCAACTAACCTGGCGGAGACAATGGCTTGAATGCAAGTCTTCAGCTCGATAACCCCAATTTGTGTCTTCTCGTCCAGGGCAGCAGTCTGGACATCGAGAAGATGAGGCCACCGGGCCAGACAATTTGTCTTGTTGGCATCGTCGAATGTGTAAAGCACCTTCACTAATAAATTGGAGCCCAATGATTAGCATCCACGGTAGAATTGAGCTGGAAAGGGAAGCTCACGCCTCATAGGCCGGACGGAAATTCCGTCCTGAGATTCCATGCCACCAACTTGAGAGGAATAACCATAAGCAAGCTGGAGAAGATGTATCCAAATAAGAATATGTCAGAACGAGGTGAAAGTTTGTTGAAGAAGCGGACCGTGGGTTGAATCAGCTGGATAGGAATGTCGAAGCGTGACAAAGTTTTCAAAGGAAGGTTGAATAGGATAGAAGCAACGTAGCGTCCGATCTATGCCGCTTGCTTATCGACTCGTCAAGCCTATCTAATCGGAGGTTGCGTCGACCGGGAGAATGAGCCGGTATGTAAAGAATCAGGATAGCGGGGTGGAATGATCTCTGGAATGCAGACGTGGGACTGAAGGAAGGGATGAAGGGACATGCGGTGAGAGTCCTTAAGAAGGAGAGAGGTGAGGAGATTCCAGGGATGTTCGGTTCTGACTTGGAAAGTGACCGCGAGTCGTGAAGTAGGGGCGAAGTAGTGAGAGGTTGGAGAAGGAAAAGAAACGACGCCTTGCATTTGAATGTCGAGAAGCTTGCAAGATCGCCGACATGAACCGTGTCGGACGCGACGTGACGGAGCCAATCGCGAACTGGGAAAAAAGCTCTGTCGCAAACACGGCAAACACGCGCGACACGTGATCCGCGACCCGCGCCAAGACGCCGGAAGAGTCCAAGACAGCGACAAAGCTGATAGTCCGATGGAAAGATAGTCAAGACGTCCTCCAGCAGACCACCACCACCTTTTATATCCCGCCAACATGTCGACCGACCCAAAGATCCAGTACGTTACCCCTCTTTTCCTGGAGATCATGTGTCATTGCATGCGTCATTCATCTCCTTCATCATGGCGTGATCTTTTTACTCTAACGCGATCGATCTGATGCTAATCATACCGTCTAATTCAACAGGGACCTGCTTAACAAGCCCAAGAGTGAGCTTACGTATGTTCTTCCCAACTTCCATCGGACCTCTTGTCTATTGGATCTATCCACAGCCTCTAACATCCCCATCAAGTGAATACGAGGTCTCCCTCGTCGAGGAACATGAGCTCACAGCTGGCCCCCTCTCTCTCCTCCAAACCGCCACACGCACACACACCCAGGTCCTGATCGCCTGCCGTAGCAACCGTCGCCTGCTTGCTCGCGTGAAGGCGTTCGACCGCCACTGCAACATGGTGCTGGAGAACGTCAAGGAGATGTGGACAGAGAAGCCCAAGGGCGGTAAGGGCAAGGGTGTCAACAAGGATCGCTTCATCAGCAAGATGTATGTGCCCATGCGATTCCTCCCCGCTTGAGGTACTTTGATGAGGAACCCGACCTCCTGATCTAACACCTCGCTCTAGGTTCCTGCGTGGCGACTCGGTCATCCTCGTTCTGCTCAGTTGATCTCGGGAATCCATTCCCAACCACGTGACATGCGCGACATGTTTGGCTTTTCTCTATCCAGTTATTGGAGTCGACAAAGACGGTCTATTTCTTTGATATCGATACCCTGTCCTACGATTTCCGAAGTCTGCGATCCATAGTCGGAGATTCAATCACACGTACATCCTAAGCTCCCTTGGCGAGTAGAAAAGGGGATTCTATTTCTTCTCATGAGCTTTCTCTATGTCCGTTCTTCGTTTTTTTACTGTATCATGAAGGGACACATCTGGCGTTTTTCTGGTCCGTTTAGAAAAGTTAGAAAAGGAAAGAAAAGTCAGATAGTTGGATTCGAGGTTTTTCTCGAAGTTAATAGGGGCCGGTCGAGTGTTCTCGATCGGTGAAAGTGGGCGTGGACAGTAGCTTTCTGGATGTATAAATATGAACGCTAATACAGCCATTTAGCTACAATGCAATGAAAGACCCCCGCTAGCAGAAGGAACATACTGTCGCACTTCGTATAGCTTGGCTTGAGTATTACGCACAAGTAGTTAAGATTCTTACAGGAATCAGAAATATCAATAATAAACTCATTGAATTTATACACTATTGGTAATTGTAACTGATTAGAAGCATGGATAAAACCGAGCAATGAACACTGCACAAAACAGAACGCCTGCAATTGTCATGATGTCATCGATTAAAATTAAAGTGTTTCATGAGATGCAATATGTACCGCGAGGTTCGAGGAATCATGCTTGCTTTGGAATGGCTTCGACAAGCCCGGTGAAGAATTCGCTAAGTCCGTAAGCACCGGGGTCAGGAACCTTACCCACCCACTCGTCTTCACCACCCACATAGACAGATCGTCCCAAGCTGGCCTTCATGCTCTTCGTGGCTTCAGTTCCCTCTTGGGCAGCCTGAGCAGCAGCATGGACATCCTTGGTGTCGCGTAGAGTGTCACAGAAGGGAACAAGGGCGTCAATCATAGTACGGTCACCAGGCTTGGCTGGTGTGTACTTTCCAAGAGCTCCAAGCGAGTATTTCAAGGCCTCACCCCAGACTTCAGCCGTGGCAGGAGTCGTCTTGCCCTTGTCTTGCTCCCGGAGGCCGTGCACAAGTGCGTTCAAGAAGATGGCGTAGATGGCACCGGAAGTACCATCCATAGTGTTCTCCACAATGGTAACGATGCGGTTGACGGTTTTAACCACGTCATCATCCAGGCTTGATAAGTTGTCCTCAAGGAGTGCGAGAACAGCCTCGGCACCACGTTTCAGGCCAACGCCACAGTCACCGTCTCCGACGATCGTATCGTAGCGAGTAACTGTTGGTTCGGCGTCAATGATGCGCCGGAGACCAGCTCCCAAGACTTTTCTAATAGTAGCAGGGTCCACTATTGCATTTCGTTAGCATGCATCCAAGGGAATCGAATATAGAAGATTGGGCAAACTAAGCATACACTTAACGTTACTGGGCTGTTCCTCAGCCAGCTTGGTCTTCTTGAGCTCTACAGGAGCATCGGTCCGACGGTCCCAGGTGGATGTTGGGATAGGGGCGGACCAACCGACTGCCTCGGCGGGGGCATCCAAAAGCTCAAGGAAAGACTTGCCAGCGCCCAATCCATTATCAGCGAGCTTCAACAGCGAAGCGCTGAAACCTAATCCGTTGAGACTGGTGAGGAAAGTTCCTTGAATAACTCGTACGGGTTTGATGCTGTAGTCCTGCTCAAGCTGGCGGTATACTTCATCGGTGATACCAGAGAGCTCCAGGCTGCTCACACCACCCAGGTTGTTAATCAGGAGCACAAACTCGTCGTCCGGTTCACGTGTAATGAAAGCACGGTCAGGGTCGTTGTGGTCCAAGATTTGGAAAAGCATGGTCTTGACCAGCTCTGGCAAAGTGAATTTCATTCGATGGGATCCGGGTTCGTTGTGAATACCCATTCCAACTTCGACCTCCCCAACAGGAATAGTATCTTCTGAAGCAGGTCGGCCAGGAATGTGGACGTGCTCTAGAGAAGAGCCCACAGTTGCGAGCAGCGAGTTGGCCTGCTTAGCAACACGGTGGATTTCTTCGAGAGAAGCACTGGTTGTATGTCAGCATGAGGGACCTCTCTTTCACCAATGTACATAATAATCAACTAACCCTGTCTCAGCCAAGGCGCTGACGATTTTCAGAACGAGGATTCCGCCGCCAATGCCGCGACGACCGACTTTTCCGCCCTTCTTCTTGCCGACGCCAGCGTCGTCATTGATAGCAAAAAATTCAGTCTTGATTCCGGCAGCGCGTGCCTTCTCGGCAGCCATACCGAAGTTGAGCACATCGCCGGTGTAGTTCATGGGAATGATGAACACACCTTGCTCATTGTCGACACAGTCGAGAGCAGCTTTGCGGATTTGTACGGCAGAGGGAGAGGCGAAGATAGTGCCAGCGACTGAAGCATCTAGGAATCCTTGGCCGACAAAGCCCGCGAAAGCCGGTTCGTGGCCGGAGCCACCGCCGGAAACGATCGCGACCTTCTTCTTTTTGAGCGAATCGGGGCGGCGGAAAATGATCTTGTTCTCAGGGTCGAAAGCAAGAGAAGGGTTTGTCAAAGTCAGCGAGTGGAGGGCGGTGACCACCAGATGGTTCGGGTCCGAGAAGAAGTGTTTGGCTGTGTTGCGTTAGTGCACCTGTCAATGCATATTTTCTGGGGTTTTAGTTTTGTTTGTGGAGAACATCGGGGTCGTTTCATGATGATCGTGGGTCTGATCGCGAGGGGGTTGTATAAGGCCCCCAACGAGAACAGCGAAACCAGAAGATGTGATAAATTCAGAAAACAGGCTGGCAACGTACTCTGTGCAGACATGATGTATGATGTGTGTAATTTCCTGATGAGGTACAGCAAACAACTGGAAATCGAAGTATGACGTCGACAGCGGATTGGACGCTCGACTTCGGGTGTGGAGAAAGACCGGAAGTCTTGGGGGGTCGGAGAGACTAGTTGAGGATTGTGCAAAAAAGAATCCACTCGTCCAGGAGGGTATTCGTCTGCTTATAAGCGTCTGTTCCTCGCTAAAACTGAAGCGAGATTTGGTCGGGTTTCTGGGCGAAATTCCTCCTGATCTAAGAGCCGGGGATAATTCGCTAGGTTTGCGCCGAGAACTTATCACGAGTATAGTACTGGCACAGAGGCTACAATCGCTCTATCGTCCGTGAGAGGCGGGGAAAAAGTGGAGAAGTTGCGTTCACTCGGGTCTAATACTATAGATCAGTCCGGGGGCTCTCATGCGTCGAAAAACCGGAGATCACAAGGGTAGACGGGCATGTCATTTGCCAGTGGTACTCACAGTATATTGGACAGGTGGAGAAAACCTAGTCAATAGGATTAGGATGAGGTAATCGTGAGTCTGGGAGTGATTCAAACAAGTCAAGACGAATTGATTGGGTATGATGAGGTGAGAATCACCCGGAGGACGAGAGATGGAGGATAGAGGAGTGGAAGATAATGGCAATGAGGGGAGACGGAGAGTGAAGGGAAGCGTTGAAGTATACTTATACTGGGGAATGACTGTACTCAAGTAATAGTGGTCAACAAGTTGTAACCAGGCGAACCTGTTGACGATGTTGTCAAACCTGTTTGTTCTTTTTTTACCTTTTTTTTTTCAGTTCACATGGACAATGATTGCAATGAGACCCATCAAACCCCCCCGGATAGGCAATGGAAGAGTAGTTCACGATAGTACAACACATTCGAGCGAGGCAGCTGTACCGAGGAGTACCTAATCGAGTAAGTACCTAAGAGGTCTAGCCCACTGCGAGGTATGTACGGAGTACTCCATACATTGGTACCTGCGGACTCGTAATATTACACCAATCATACATTGTTCTGAGGCCTTGTCCATACTAAGGTAATCAAACTTCCCGCCGCCGGCCGCGAAACCCCATGGGTCTGGAACCTTGGGCGACTTACAGGCGACTTTGAACGAACGCTTCGGATTACCATCTGTGGCATTCCCGCCTCGACCCCTCGTATGGGATGGGTTTGAACTTTGGGGAAAGCAAAACGCTTGCTTATTTCCGCCTGATGGATGCGGCTACGGCTTCCTCCGCGGATAATTCCTTTATGGTCCAAAATTGAAATTCATAATTGCCAGGGATTACCCTGGAGGGCTGATCGAGTGGGTGTCGCAAGTGTCGGTCCATATCACCTTCCGGGTGCATCCACTAACTACGTACCAGGGTTACTATCAATTACAATACAACCAACATATGTCTGTACATACTCAGTAGAGTTGTCTAATAATTGGGATGATTACTATACCTCGATCTATCAGCCCATCCTTACATAACTGGACAGATTTCATCCTGATACACTTGACAAAATAAAACAGATGAATCAAAATAAAAATCTTCCAGCTCTCGTGATGTACATACATATGTTGTCTACCTCTCATCCCTTACTCCCGCTGTTGATGAGCGCGAGGAGCATCCCAACAGATTCCACTCCACGTATATCGGCATGCGTCCAGCAACCCAGTACGTATGCATTGTGGGATGCCTGAAGATCTACATAGGATGTAGCAGGCACATACTAGTGGAATTATTCCTATTCTCTGCATGCCTATGATATGCTTACTGTATCAGTGTCAATTACGAGTCCCTTTCGCTATCAGATTGACAATTCGGGCAAAAAGAATGACTCAGGACTGGGTCAATTGAGGATTTAGTATCCTCAAAGTATCTATTTTCGACAACCTTATGCGATCTGAAAAAAGAAGCTGCATCAAAAAAAAGAACTGATTCGTAGCGAGAATAATTTCTAGAACGAAGACGTAGTGCGACAAAAAGGGGGAAACGGCGCTAGAAACATCCCCAACATAAAAAGCGATCATGGGACCGACAAAAAAAAGCCTAGTTTCCCCGCTGTCAGATCTAATGGAAATCCACCAGCGTGGTTGAAGGGCTCTAATCATTACCACATCAGGAACTCCCAATGATAGGCGCGTACGTAGTCGCATATTGTTCAAGATGATCTCTCGTTCCGTGAAGTGTTCCATTGAGGATTCCTCCTGATCGCCCGTCCCTCAGGGTTCAGCTTGAGACAGGGAAGAGTTGCTGTGGATAAAAAGAAAAAGTGCACTCATCCACGTGAACCCCCAAAAGAGCCCAGACCGTTTTTTATTCTTCCGTTTCATTTCAATACATCCGATACAGAACATTTTACCATTTCCGGACCATCCCTTGGAATATGCTTTAATTTTTTTTTTTCTTTTTTTTTTTTTTCGCATTTTTGGATTTTCGGGGGGTTCGTCTCTCTCCCGAGTCTCGGTTCTCTCGGGCGAGAGTCAAAAGTGTGGTGATGCGTCGAGTGCAGTTTGAATGCTGTCTTTGACTTTCCTTGCTCGCCATTTAGTATGTAAGCAATTATCTCATCATTCAGTGATGATGACAACGATCATGGAGTCTTAATATTGCCGATCACCTTGCCACTAAACCGGTTGGTAGCACTCATCACAGTCCTGCGTGAGTATACGACACAGTAGGTCCGCAAGTAATCATGATGCTATTGATAATACAGAAAATAAAATAAGTGGATAACACCACGGAGAGATAACCCAGCGTACGGAGGGCTCCGTCTGCCAATGCCGAACTATTCTCAGGTTTTGTTCGGATCGGCACCGCGTGGGGGCTGGGCCTGCCAACCCGTGATCACGGGGGAAGGTTAATAATAACTTAATAGGGAACGCGATTAGATTTCCGCGGCCGCACCTACTGCAGGGCCGATGGACTGGGGAACAAAGTACCCCCCACATTGTCTCGGGTCATATATTAAAAGAACGTTTGCTTCGTGTCATATGATGCTCGAGGAGTTAAAACACATGATAATAGTTAATGTCTTGCTGACACAGATATAGTCGTCTCTAAATGTTCCATTATGCCACATACTGATACCGGTTTCCTTCTTCTCGCTCCATGTAGTCCTTTTCAATCAGCCTGTAGAGCAGTCATAGTCAGTGATCAGGTTCTCAATAAAAACCAGAAAAGAAAACAAAACAAAACGAAACAATAATTTCTCGGAGCCACTCACTTCTCAATGTTCTTCTTAATATCCGCGGGCTCGAGCACTCCTCGGCTGCGCGTCGCCTTGATCACCTCCGCTACCAGTTCGGGGTGTGTGATGGTCTTCCGGCTCTTCATAATCCGCACAATAGCTGCCTGGGTCTCATAATGCCGATCGGCTGCCACCCGCTCGTGGGTCGTCTTGTTCTCCTCCTTTGTCTCCTTCAGCTGGATCTGATTGATCTTGATCCGCATTTTCACGTCGGAGAATCCCCCATTGTACGAGAACTCGTCCGTTGTGTTGACTTCTCGGCCCTTCGGCTTCTTAACAAGCACTCGGTATTTGGCGCATGCGAGCGATTGGAGGGTCCGTTTCAGTTCCTGGTCAGCTATGCCACGTCAGTTAGCAGTAGCCCCGAGAGTGAGTATTTGGAGATTTGAGAGTATGGGGTACTAACACAACTTCGTCGCCTCCTGGATCTGTAGATAGCTCAGAGTATCCTTCTCGGACACGTCGTTAAATAGCAGAAGCACGATGGCCTGGAATGAACTGACTACCAGTTCCTTATCGCCTTTGGGAAATCTTGCGCGCAGCTGGCAGTGCGCGAGTTGGTGTTTCCAATTAAGTTTGCGCCCGTTGTATTTACTATAGTAAAACTTTTCGAACTCGCTGACAGCCGTCGCGATTTCGGGCGGTATTCGCACCTGAACATCGGGATAGGACGGCCAGGCAGACGCAGAGAGCACACTAACATTCAAATCTACCGGTAATCGGTGCTTGCGCTCACGCTGAATAGAATTATACGCCGCCATTTCATCCCGCGCCACGTCCATGTCTTTGAACATAGATTCCAGGTTGTGCGTGAAGCTGGAACCGCATTCTAACCAATCGTCAATGTTAGCCTCCATGTACACATCTCAATTTCTGTCGCTCGGAATCAGAACCAACCTGTCTTGAGCCTGGCCAGCATGCTCTTCTCTGCATCATCACTGGCACTTCGGCCCATCAATAGCCGACGAGCAAGGTCGTTCTTGTAAAATGCCTCAAATACAGCTTTGCCATGTACAAATCGGAAGAGGTCTAACACTTGATCTAACTGTCGATTGATTTCGGCATCCTCATCGGCAAGAGGTACATCCTCGACTTTTCGTCCAGGAGGTAATTTCCACCCGCCTTTGAGTAATCTATCCACATATTTGGCAATCAGCTCTCCGGTCTTGGGGTTATCTGTGCCTCCGGATGCGCCCGATTTTCGGCCCTTGTTCATGAACGTCTCAAAGGCCTCCCGCAAGGAATGTCCCAGTTCCTCATGCCGATGGAACGAGTTGATCCAAGTTTCGTCAAGCTGCTGTTTGAAATCCAGTAGTCGGGCCACCATTTCCGCCTCTTTTTCATCATCAAAGATAATTCCAGTACCTTCTTCAACGATGTAACTGCTGAATGCCGTTTTCAATTTCGCCCCCAAATCCCTTCGTTGAAGAAGAGTATAGAGCTTTTCCAAGGCAGTCTTATTGCCGGCCCGCAGCAGACCAAGAATGTCATTTTGGTTTAGGAGAACATCCTCTTGCTCTGCCACTAACTCCTGATCCAAAAGTTCAGACAACTTCTGTTTCGTGCTCCGATTTAAAGAGAACAATGTGCACCTGTCTACTTCTTGTTCAATTAACCGGTGACTGTTTTCCGCAAAGGTGGCGAGATATCCCGAGGCTTCATGCTGAGCCCATGATGCGAAGAATTTCATCGATTCGGAGACAAGGAGAGGTTCAAAGCCAGTAGTATAAACATCAAGGCCATGGAAAAATTCAATAGCGTTCCGAAGCAAAGATGAGTCGGCCGACATACCGCGCCCTTCGTCACGGTCCGCTTCAACCAGGTCGCAGGCGCCCTGTAAAACTTGTGGCTGTAACACTGGATCATTGAATATGTGTTGCCGGAACTGAATCAAGCCCATCTCGCGAATAACTGGGTATTCCTTGGAATGGAGGAGGAACGATTGGTCGAGATAGTAGA